AAAAAATTACATATTTCCATGCAAAAAAATGTACCGCTTTGAGCACAGAAATACTGGACATAATCAGACCGCTAGGGAGGTTAAGCGCTTGGATGTTTACTGATTTCATTGGCTGCAATATTCATTTGTTCTGGCCGTTGACATGAAAGAACACCCAAGCACTTAACCACTTCAATACCGGGCACTTTTACCCCCTTCTGGCCCAGGCCAATTTTCAGGTTTCAGTGCTCTCACAATTTGAATGACAATTGCACGGTCATGCAGCAATGGTACCCAAACTAAAATGTTATCATTTTCTTCACACAACTAGAGCTTTCTTTTGGTGGTATTTAATCACCACTGGGATTTGGCTTTTTTGCTAAATTAAACAAAAAAAGACCGACAGTTTGAAAAAAAACCTGCGTTTTTTTCTTTGTTTCTGTTAAAAAAGTTTACAAATAAATAATTGTTCTTCATAAATTTAGGCCAAGATGTATTCTACTACATGTCTTTGGTAAAAATAACCCAAATAAGTATTTATTATTTAGTCTGTAGGAAAGTTATAGAGTTCACAAACTATGGGATATATCTGAATATTGATCAATCCTGAAGTACTGACAGCCAATCTAATTTCTTGAGGCCCAAAAATGTCTGGACAGTACAGATATCCCCCAAATGGCCCCTTTTTGCAATGTAGACAGTCCAACGTATGTCATAGCAGGCATGGCGATGTTTTTGAACTTGTAATTGTTTCGTCATTTTTTGGGAAATGAAATTAAAAAAAATTTCACTTTTTTTTTTTTACATACTGTCACCAGTGCAGTACAGCATCATCATATAACTGGCATGGCGGGGATCAGGGACACTGACTGGTGATAGTACGAAAAAAAAATTAAATTGACAATTTGTTTTATTTTTAATTTTTTATTGTTTTTTTTTTTCTTTTTTTTTTCATATTTCACTATGACCAAAGTAGTATAATGTTACCATAGTAACATTGTACTACTTTGGGGAAGTGATCAGTATTTTTTTTTCACAATTTGGTTATAGCAAATAATTTCTTTGCTATAACCAAGCATTTACCTGAATGAAATCGATTCATTCAGGGGTTTTTTTATGTCCTTTGACTTAGCCACAGCTAATCACATGACACAGCTGGGCTGTGATTGGCCCAGCTTGTGCATGTGATCGCTGTGACCATTCACAGCTAGACACACTTGTATACAATGGATGGCTTCTTTTCATGCCATCCATTGTATACAACTGTCATGTTACCTGCTGTGATTGGTCACATGGTACTGGCAACAGGGCTGGTACATCGATCTGACATTGGCTGTGTCCGAGGTACACGGCCAGTGACAGATCGCGCCCGGGCATGCACAATTCGCGTTTCTGAAAGACACCATATGGCGTCCACCCGGAGGGACAAACTGTTCACCCGGCCGCCATCTGGCTATAGGCCGGGCAGCAATTGGTTAAGGAACCTAAGGCTCCATACACACTGGGCATAAAAAAAAAAAACCTGCCGGTTCCCTTGGCAGAAAAAAAAGCTGATTTTTTTATTTTCTGCCAGAAAGCCCCTACATTTGTATTAGTGAGAGGAATAGTGCCTCAACATTTGTATCAGTGAGAGGAATAGTGCCTCAACATTTGTATCAGTGGGAGGAATAGTGCCTCAAAGATTGGTGTCGGTGGGAGGAATAGTGCCCCAACATTTGTGTCGGTGGGAGGAATAGTGCCCCAAGATTTGTGTCAGTGGGAGGAATACTGTCCCAAAGATTTTTTGTCAGTGGGAGGAATAGTGCTCCATCATTTTGGTGTCAGTGGAAGGAATAGTGCCCCAACATTGGTGTTTGCGGAAGGAATAGTGCCCCAACATTTGTGTTTGCGGAAGGAATAGTGCCCCAACATTTGTGTCGGTGGAAGGAATAGCGCCCCAACATTTGTGTCGGAAGACATACTGCCCCATCATTGGTGTCAGTGGGAGGAATAGTGTCCCAACATTTTTTGTCGGTGGAAAGAATAGTACCCCATCATTGGTGTCAGTGGGAGGAATAGTACCCCATCATTGGTGTCAGTTAAAGGAATTGGGGCCCAAGGGCCGGATAAAGGTTTGCAAAGGGCCACATTCAGCCCCCAGGCCCCAGTTTGGAGACCACTGCTTTAGAGATTAGCCTGCTGCCTTTGGTCCAATAAGGCCACATCGTTGGTGTCACTAGGAAGAATAGAGCCCCCTCTGTTGTTTCAGTAGGAGAAAACGTATTTTTCATAATTTGTTTAACCTGATTATAATGCCTCTTTAAATAGAAGCAATAGTGATCAGGCTTAAGCAAGCAAATTTAGTATGAAATTGCTCCTTACTGGCGATTGCTAGAATTTTGGAATTTAAAGAACTCTGGGATATGCAAAAATATCACCCATTAGTACACCCCCCTACACAAAACACTACACGGTTAATAACATTTTGAAAATCCTTACCATTACAAGTCTAAATTAATTTTCATGACCTAATTTCTGTAATTCAGAAGATAACAGCATCTTCTCTGCCAAGGAGGAGGTGGATCAGCAGGTATTACATCATATCCTCTCCTCTCTTTGCTGCAAAAGGAAACTACAGTTCCCATCAACCACAAGGAGTTGTAGTGAATGTAGGCGGGTAAACTAGGCCTGAATATGTTGAATGTGTTTGAGAACCTTGGTCCTCCCACCACTGCAAGTGGGGCTGAATTATATCACTGCTTCCTAGAAAAAGAACTACAGAAAGGCTGTGCCAAGACCAGTGGCTGGTGGAATAGGAGGTATAGCAGCCACTGGTCTTACAAACAGGAAACCAACGAGAATTAACGGTTTAATTTGAAAATGAAAAGATTATTTCAGAACAACTACTGAATGAACCAGAATATGGATGACATATTCAGTGAAAATAGGAAATCCGCAACAAGGACATGTAAAGAAGTTTTTGCCCGGAGTTCTGCCTTAAAAGAGAAATATGAGATTTTTTTTTCGTTTTACATTTAAAACGAACTGAACTCCTGTGATTCACATGGGATTTACAGCCAAACAAGCTTTGGCTGTACTTCTCCTTTAATGAAAAAAAGCCTAGTGAGACGTAAGATTAAAGGATAAGTTCACCTTTTGGACAAAAATAATAAATGCACATTTTTTTGCTGGTAAAAAGGAGCATGTAAAGCACTGCACCAGCGATCAGTAAATCGCTGATGCCATGCAGGTCTCCTGCAGACCTGTCAGACTATCTGCTTGCCATACGGGGTGTACGAGCAAGCAGATATAATGACAGGAAGCTTCAATGAACTACCACGGCGCTTCATTGAAAACTACAAGCCCACAGCCACTAATGCTGTCGGGACTTGTAGGCACTCATTCCCAGAACACTGTGAATGAGCTGTGCAGCCGTGTGGACAGAGCCCTGCACGACCGTGCTGTTTTCAAATCTGACAGTACGGGGAGAAGTTTCCCCGTACTATCTGTCAGAGGGAGCAACGGCTGCGGCTATGGGAACATGTTACATGTTCCACCCTAAAACCGGGTGGAACATGTACCAAAGGCGAACTTATCCTTTAACCGGTTATGCGCCGCCTTATAGCTGAAATACTGATACAGGGTGTCATGGGTGTGCAAAATCAAAATCATATATACGTGATATTGCAGTTCTGGGTAGGTGGCGCATGTACCCTGCTTGCACAGCCATTTGCGGCCTCGGTAGTTAATCTCTGGGTCCTGGCTGGAGATAACTCACCGGCACCTGGTGATTGCTGAGTATCTTTGACAGAGGAGAGGCATGTGTATAAACACAGATCTCTCCCCTGTTAGCTCCTGCACACTGCTTTGTATGGCTATGCATAGCAGAGCCATACACAGCAGTGTGCTTACAGTGAAGCACACACACACACAGCTCCCATAGTAAAACAGCACACAGTTAACCCTTTGATCGCCCCATATGTTAAGCCCTTCATGCCCAGAGCCATTAGTATAGTGTCAATGCTTTTTATTAGCACTGATCACTGTATTGGTGTCACTGTGGATGTCAGTGGCAGTTAGTCAGTTCCCACCGCCGTTACTAGTAAAAGAAAAAAATTACAGTATCTATACCGCCATTTGTAAACGCTATAACTGTTACGTAAACCAATTAATTTACTTGTATTGGGATTTTTTTTTTAGCAAAGACATGTACTAGAATGCATCTTGGCATACATTTATGATGAAATTTGATTTTTTTTATTTTTTTCCTGGACATGTTTATTGGCAAAAAGTCAAAAATATTGTTTTTTTTTTTCTCAAAATTGTTGGTCTTCTTTTGTTTATAGCGCAAAAAAAAAAACAAAACACAGAGGCGATAAAATACCATCGAAATAAAGCAATTTGTGGGAAAAAAGGACGTAAAATGTTATTTGGGTGCAGCGTTGCATGGCCGCACAATTGTCAGTTAAAAATAATGCAGTACTGTATCGCAAAAAATGGCCTGGTCAGGAAGGGGGGTAAATCCTCAGGAGGGCAAGTGGTTAATGAGGTGACTTCTGTTGACAAAAGGGATAATTTACTGAAACTGGAGAATGCAAAATCTGGTGCAGCTGTGCATAGAAACCAGTCAGCTTGCAGGTTTTATTGTCAAAGCTTAATTGAACAAGCTGAAGTTAACCAATTGCCTACTGGGCACTTTCACCCCCTTCCTGTCCATGCCAATTTTTAGCTTTCAGCGCTGTAGCACTTTGAATTGCACGGTCATGCAACACTGTACTCAAATGAAATGTTATATTTTTGAGACAGATAGAGCTTAGGGGTGGTATTTAATCACCACTGGGTTTTTATTTTTTGCTAAGCAAACATAAAAAAGACCAAAAATATTGAAAAAAAACTTTTTTTTTTTCTTAATTTCTGTTATAAAATTTTGCAAACAGGTAATTTTTCTCCTTCACTGATGTGCGCTGATGGGCGGTACTGATGAGGCTGCACTTATAGGCAGCACTGATGGGCACTGATAGACTGCACTGAATGGCACTGACTAGGAGGCACTGACTATGCTGAAATGACTGGTGGCACTGACAAGGCTGCACTGACTGGCGGCACCGATGGATACTGGCTGGCAGCACTGATAAATACTATTGGAACTGCCCTGATGGACACTGTTGGGACTGCACTGATGTCCACATGGGGCTGCACTGATGTCCTCTTTCACAGTTGCTGGCTTTCCTCTCCTAATGCTGTGACAATGTGAGGAAAGTGAAGCCAATAATTGCCAACTGTGTTTACATCGTGATCAGCTGTGTCATTGGACACAGGTGATCACGTGGTAAAGGGCCACTGTGATTGACCCTTTACGTGTCTGACGGACACAGCGATCACAAAGCACGCCCCATGAATGCACAGGAGACACGGTTCTGGGAGGATGTCATATCAAACCCTCCCGAACTGGATGTCCGCGCTGTAGCTGTCATTTGGCTATAGCCCGGTCATCAAGTGGTTAAAAGCTGATTGGATACCATGCACTCTCTAGTTTTAGGAAATCACCCCCAAAGTGTCATCAGGACAGAATTGCCAATTTGACATGACTCTTAGTGGCATACTGCAGAAGCATAAATCCATTGCCATCAATCTTCAGGGTTCTAGACCAGTAAAGCTCTGTGAGGTCAGTTTCCTCCTGTCCATACAGACGCTCTCCACAAAAATAGAACTGGATCTACCATTGCAGATAAGACAGCAATGTTGGGACTGCCATGAGAAGAGCAGAGACTTGTTCCTGTCACCAATGTTTAGCATGCTCCTTGGTAGCTGTATACAGGGACCAAGCAACTTGGCTTTATACTGAAATATTGCCAGTGGTCAAGGGTATGTAATCCCTGCTTGTAAATTCCTGGACGTAGATGCCTGGTGATGATAAAAACAGTAAAGCTTGCTGTCAACCTCTGTATTTGATTTGTGCAATTCCTGGAAACGAGGCACCTATAGATTTGCAAGTTTGCAGTAGCCAAGTCTGAGCCAGACTGTCTGACGCAACTCTACAATACAATCATTCATTATAAACACACCCGCAATATATATTTTTAAGTCATATAAAACCATCATATACTGTATTTCCTCTCTATGCATTCGATATTTTAGTAGGGTCATATTTGACGTAAACCTACTTCATAATCCACAAACCATTATTAATATTATTTTCACATTACAAATATTTTGTATTTCATTTTTATGATTGTGAAGTTAGTATGGAAATAAAACATGAACATATATTTACCAAATGTATTGCATAAAGTGGAAGTTCACCCTAGAATTACTTTATAAACATTAAACAGCCATATAACGCATGTACTTTACAGTACAAAAGAGTACATATAGTATAACACACGTACCCTGATAAGTGCATAGTATCATGTTTGGCTTCTGTCTGTGCTCTGATTGTACAGCATTCAGGATTGGAAACTACTGGCTATTTACCAGCAACATCATGTAATATTCTTTCACCACATCTCAAGGCAGTGTCACATCAGACAAATATGCCCAGGGGGATACTTGGCACTCACACAATGCCCCCCTAGCCTGCCAAAGAAGGAGAGGCAAATGCTCTCCGGAACTTCTCCAACACACTAATTCAACTGACACTCTAGGAGTGCCCTAACATCCAAACTCAATACTGGCCGGGAGAAGTCTAATATAGGCAGTAACCTTTTCCAATACATAGTTGAAAAGCCATAGAATGTACAGTATTTGGAATCCCTAAAATATTCTGTTCTAAAACAATGCAACTTTTTCTGTCCTGGTACCCAGGGGCGGACTGACAACTCATGGGGCCCCTGGGCAACAGGGGATCATGGGGCCCCTGTGTCCTTGCCCACACTCAAAAAAGCCTATAAAAGGTACCAGGGGCATTTCATGGGGTCCCCTACTGACCCCGGGCTCTGGGGCAGTGCCCGAGTGCTCAAATGGTCAGTCCGCCCCTGCTGGTAGGATTTGATCACCTCTGCGTTTTTTATTTTTTGCGCTATAAACAAAAAAATACCAAAAACATATCCAATAAAAAAAAATCAAATTACATCATAAATTTAGGCCAAAATGTATTCTGCTACATGTCTTTGCTAAAAACAAATCCCAATATGTGTAAATTATTATTATTATTTTTTTTTTTAAGTCCACGACAGGGACAAGGTTCCCATGTGGTCCGCCTAGCCAAAAGGCCTGGCGGACCCCGTTCCTTGTGGCCAGCCGAAGCCAGCCACCAAGTACTTGGTAAGGGGGCTCTCCCGAAGAGAAAACCCCCTAGGGACAGGGGAGGAAGGAACCAAAAGGCCACACATCCTCCCCCTAGACTTCAGGGTAGGCCCGAGGACCCACACCCTACCATCCTGTGAGAAAGAAAACACACACAAAAGTGAAGAGTGACAAACGTGGGAGAAAAATTAATAAAATAAGTGGCCATGCAAATTGTGCACTGGCCAGGCCCTTAGGCCCGTAGCAAAAATTGCCCAGGACTTGGCCAAAAGGCCTAGCCCTAAAAGGCGCAGTGCAGGAAAAGTGTAGAATCAGTGACCATGTGCCTTTTCACACATTGGGGTCCCACCCAAGTGTTTCTAAGAGCACCCTTGAGGCGACCACTCTCAGGGGGCACTGGTTCGCAGACTTTCTGCCTCCCCGGCCCCTGGCCAGACAAGGTAGATCCGTTCAAATCAGGAGGAACTGGGCCCCTCCGGTTTTCCAGGGGGAATTACTCCCGGGCCCCAGCAGCCTGTGGGCGCCTCGGTTTCTGTTCCAGCCTGTACTAACCATCAGGACCCCCATCCTACCAGCAGGGGTACTATACAACCAATCATCCCCGCAAGCAGGAATGATGGTGGAGCACCCCTACTGGACACTGATAAGAACAGATACTACACTTGATCATAGCCAAAAGGCTGAGAAGCGATAATTAATTGGTTTATTTGAAAGTTATAGCATCTACAAATGGTGGTATATATACTGGAATTTTTTATTTTTTTTTATACTAGTAATGACAGCGATCGGCAACTTATAGTGGGACTGCAGCAGGCATTCTGACACTGGGTGGGAACTGACGAACTGCCTCTGTCATCCCAAGTGACACTAAAAAACAGTGATCAATGTACTAATGACATGGGGCAGGAAGGGATTGACTTTTGAGCGATCAAAGGGTTATCTGTGTACTGTGTGCTGTTTTACTAGGGAGTCATGCTGTTTGTATCTTTCTGCTGTGCAGAGAGATACAAAACAGCAAGTCTATGCTGACAGGAGAGAGACCTGTTTTCTTTACACACAGGTCTCTCCCCTGTCAGCTTTACACGGCAATTGCTGAGTGCCGGCCGGGAATCGCCGGTCAACACCCGGTAATTGACATCCCTAGCCAATAGCAGTGCGGGCAGGGCGGCACACGCGCCCCCTACCTAAAGGTGCAAATTATATATACGTGATTTTGCGCAGCCCTGTAGCAGTACTTCTATTATAGGGTGGCGGGCAAGCGGTTAAGGTGTGTGCCATCTGGAAAGCCAAACCATAGAGTCTGTGGCTCTTCTGCCATATTGATAGCAGTCAATCATGATGCAGATGCTTCAAGAAGATGGAGCCTCTTTAAGGGGGTCCTACTCTCAATGCTCAAGCCTAATATTGACAAATTCTGCACTCTCCTCTCATTCCCCAAGAAAGAAATTTAATTGATGAAGGGTTATGTGCCGATTTCCATAAATTAAAACCGTCTTGGTCCATTGAAATGGTGCCCTACTAGTTCAGAATGAGATACTGTTATTTCTGCAGTTCTCACACCCCTGAGTCAAAGGCTGAGCACAACTTTCTATTGCTTTCAATATAGCAAATTAGCTAGTAAACCAAGAGGCATGGGACCTTTAACCACGTCCTATACTCTGATGCTGCATGTTATCTCACAGTTCATAACTCTCTAGGGAGTCTGTAGGGCAGCAGCAATTTTAATCCTTGATAGATGTGCTGTGGGACCTAGAATGCAGAAGATACATTTGGATTATAGTGTTTTATAGAGCATTATAAAACACTATAATTGAAATGTATCTTTTATAAAAAGCATAACTGCGCTTTGCGCTGCTTATTATAAAATTATACAGAATGAATGATATTGCACATGCAAATTACAACACTGCTCATCATTGTTCATCAATTGTAACATGATTCGGTTTACACATCATTGTTTTTAAAAAAAATATCCCACTGTGCGTTTGATCATCTCTATAATCTAGGTCAAATTGAGAGGGGTTGGGTAAAAAAAAAATGCTGAACGTTACAGATACTTACGGCAATATATAATGAGCTGACATGTTTGCCTTAAGGATACACATCATTTGAGTTTGCCATATTTTATTTTCATTTCAATTAATCATATCCTGGTAATAAATGATATGATGTACAGTTTATAGCTAAATTAAAAGAACATGCAAATACATATATACTGCATATACGCACACACCCTTACAAACACACACATAAATGTCAGCTGTGCTTGAACAGCATTTTCATAAACCTTTGCATTGGTTATAGGTAACCCAGTGCCAGAGGTAGTCCCAATACAGTTGTCTAGAACAGTAGTTCACAACTGCTGTGCCACAGCCTATTGCCAGGCCACTGCATGCTGTCTACCAGACATACCTTCCCCAAACCTACACTCTGTGAGCTGGGAGACTCTTTGTAAGTTCACTCTACCTACCCTAGGGATGCACAGTCATGTGACAAAACTGCACACTTTGCTGAACTGGTGCTAAAGGATCACTGCATTAACCCGGGGATTGGGAACGGGGCTGTGTGGGAGGAGAGAGCGAACCAGGGGTGGACTGACAACTCATGGGGCCCCCGGGCTATAGGAAATCATGGGGCCCCTGTGTCCTTATCCACACTCAAACCACACACCCAAAAAAGCCTATGAAAGGTACCAGGGGCATCTCATTGGGCCCCCTAATGACCCCGTGCAGTGCCCGAGCGCATAAATGGTCAGTCCGCCCCTGGAGCGAACTGTAGGGGCATTGCATTACGTTGTGCCATTTTCCTGGTGTTACATGTATATGAGGGAGGCAGAGTCAACTTTCCTAATTACAATAGTATCATGC